CCGCCACACCATGCCCAACTTCGCTGGCACCTGGAAGATGCGCAGCAGTGAGAATTTCGACGAGCTACTCAAGGCTTTGGGTAAGCTGGTGTGATGGCGCGCCCCGACGCGAGAAAGTGACCGAGAGCCCCGGGGGGCCGGAGGTGTGATCGTTGGGGACTAGTCCCCGTTAGAGGGGAGTCCCGGCAGCTATATGGGGCTAACTCCCAGGCGCTCCCATCTGTGAGCAGAGCCCTGAGACTGCTCATCTAGGGAACTTTTATTTTCTGGTGGTGGTGATGGTGGTTGGTCGGCTCTTCCCAGACGGTTCCACCTTTATGCAATGCTAGATGATGGCAAGGAGGGATTATTGCTGGAGTCCAAGGAAGGTCAAGGACTTAAAACGTGGGGCCTCGATTTAAGGCCCCCCTCTGCCATGAATTCACTGTGCAACTCAGGGAACGCCGCTTACCCTCTCTGAGCCTCAGTTCTTCATTCGAAAATCAAGGCGAGCGAGCGCAGGGAAGAGTGAATAGGTTTTCAGCCCCGTCAAAGGGTCGCTCGGAGTCGGGATCGACTAGACGGCAGGGCGCTTTATGTATGGTTGGAGGGTTTGGGAAGCGCGGGGTCTGGTGGGGCCATGGGGCCCGTGTGAACGAGCCTGAGCTGTACCCGCACATGCCCGCGCAGGTGTGAACGCCATGCTGAGGAAGGTGGCGGTGGCAGCTGCGTCCAAGCCGCACGTGGAGATCCGCCAGGACGGGGATCAATTCTATATCAAGACATCCACCACGGTGCGCACTACGGAGATCAACTTCAAGGTCGGAGAAAGCTTCGAGGAGGAAACCGTGGACGGACGCAAGTGCAGGGTGAGGCCCCAGAACTTGGACAGTGTTCCCGGGTCCCCGCTTCCTGCCCACTGCCCGATGCAGCCCCTCGCTACCGCCCGATGAACCTATAAATTGTCTTTTGCCTTGTGCAGAGGGCTTTCCTCGCAGGGCGAGTGCACCGGCTGTTCTCCGAGGGTTTGTGCAACCAGGGCCCTGGCCTCTGGAGAAAGTCTTAACCAGTCCCAACCCTGAGCCATCTCCCGAGGTACTAACAGCTCAGCTCGAAGCTCGGTCTCCGGGGCGCAGCGCTGCGATCCGGATCCCGGGGGTGGCTTCTGCAGCGCTCCCCAGAGCCCTAGGCTCCAGCGCCGGAGGGGGGTTGCAGGCGCCTCTGGGTTCTCGAACTGAGCCGTCGCCTCCACTGCAGCGTTTCAGGTCGCAGGTGGAGCTGCAGCTACGGGGTACCGCGCCCCCGTCCCCACCTCGGGTGCTAAGGCTCAGGGGAACGCTCTGGATCCAGTTTCAGCAATTCTTGATGGTCCGGCTCCCTCCCCCCGCCCCCACCTCCCCAACGCGGGCACCTCTCGCCGCCCTCAGCCCGGGTCCTTAAAGGCACGGTGAAATTCTTCCCAAAGCGAAGCGCGTTCTGGCTGTGAAATGACTAAGTTATGTCTCTTAGCCCTCAAGGGCAAAATCTTTGCATTTCTCAGTAGATTGACCCCAGAGGTGAGCGCGTGGACTGAAGCAAGGGGCTATACATTCTTTTTTAGCACGGGCAAAAAATGCGTTTGACCCTCCTGTGTTTACAGGACAGCTGGGAAAGTCATGGCTGGTGCTATCACTTATTTGAAAAACCACAGAATGCCTCCCTTCATTTCTCCAATGTTTAAAAAAACAAGGAAAGTAAACGGCATCCTGGAGAGTGTGAAATTGTGTCTTTCACCTTTCCTGAGTGGAGCCTGTCTGATGTACAGACTGGGAGGAGGACTCCAGGCGGTTCCCCAGGAAGACGCTGACCTGTTAGGGTCATTAATATTGGACTCCCAAAATTGACCTACTGTGAAACTGACATCCCTCTGTCTCCTGTTCAAGGCACTGCCTTGTTTGTAGAAAAAAACCAGAAGAGTGGGACCACTCACGGTTAAGAGTCTCAAAGCTGGATTCCTTAAAATGGATCCTCTCCTCCCTGGGGACCTAAGGAAGGCTTGCCATTAGGTAGGGCTCAACTTGGGGGCTTCCATCGGTGGCCACAGCCAGGAAGTCAATTTTGATTTAAAAACAAGCAAAGTGACACAGGACAGAATGGAAAATAGAACTTTCTTTATCTGCCCCTTCCCACCCCCCACCCCCACAAGCACCCTGCCCAGTGGTCCCCTATGTAGTGTTAAAAAGCATCTACCCTGTTTCCCCGAAAATAAGACAGTGTCTTATATTAATTTTTGCTCCAAAGACGCGCTATTTGGAGGGGGTGTCTTATTTTCCATGGGGATGTCT